CCAGCCTGGTCTACAAAGTGAGTTCCAGGACAGCCTCCAAAGCTACAGAGAAACCCTGTCTCGAAAAACCAAAAAAAAAAAAAAAATCTGAGCTCACATGTCCTGTCATCCTGTTATATACATAACAATTTAAAATACATTCCACCCCCACCCATAAAGCAGTTGTTTTGGTCTCTTTACTGGATCTGATTTATCTCATGATACATTACATACAGGATTCACAATTACCAATCTCCTTAAATACTGTATTTCTGGTTAAGAGCTTTCATTTTCATATTAAAATGAAACAAAACTATTCAAGTTCTATTAGGTCTTAATAATAAAAGCCTGGAGTTAGATATATGGGGGAAATGCTGAGAGACCAGAAAGAAGGAGCTATCCAAAGCCACCTTTACCTAACTAGCTTCCCAGCAGAAAAGAGAGTGAGTTCCTGTTTCCTCCCGCCTATATTCCTTTCTCCACCCAGCCATCTCACTTCCTGTCTGTTTGTACAGACCTCCAGACCTCAGTGGTTAGCTAGTGGCAAGTTCCACCCTCTGATATTGAGGCACTCTTTATTTGTACAAACAAGCTATCACCACATATCCCCTTTTTTGTCTAAAAATAAAAGTTATAACTAATATAAGAAAAATTATATACAATAAGTAAAGTAACTATATACAATATATGCAGACAATAAGCACATCAATAATGTCTAGTCCATTAGGATTTGACAAATTCACACAAAGTACTCCATTAACTCTCCTATTGTTGTGAGTCCAAAGTCTTGTACATAATTTTGTTTCTATTTTAATTTGCATTATCAAATTACCTTTTAATGTCTCTCAACCTTTTACACTTTACATATCTTTAGTGAGTTTCTTTTCTGAGCTCTTTAGTGAGCTCTATTAATCCAGGTTCCATTTCCAGAACCCACATAGTAGCTAACTATTTGCTGTAACTCCAGTCCCAGACATCTACTGCCTTCCTCTGGCCTCTGTAGGTACTGTGCACAGACACATATATACAAAACAATGTGTAACTAATTTTTTTAAAGTTATAAAAAGGAAAGAATGAAATTCTTTACAATGATGTCATAGCCCTGACACAGACAGCAGCCAGGACTAGCTAAAATGAACTCCTTCTGATCTTGCATGGAAGCAACTGTGACCTTCCACCAAGCCAGCCATCTCAGAGGCACAAACAGCTTTGTTCTGAGGTTAATAGAGCTTATCATAACCATTCATCTAAGAGCAGAGTATACAGTGCTGTTAGGTGACTTTTCCTTGAAGTTTTCTATATTTGTATTCTCTATCTTTTGTATCTGTGAGAACTGTGGCATTGGTACAATTATCTTTTAGATCGAACATCAGGATTGATAGGTTGCAAAGGTTCCAAAGCAATCTACTTTCACTGTGTCATTTACCTGATTTTCAGCTAAGACCTTGTGGTTCAAGATAAGCATGCCAGAGGCATTTATTTCCATCATTTTTTATAATTTATATAAGTTCTTGCATGACGTTGAGGTAAGAATGTCCCTAAATGCCTTTGCTTCTACATTGTGATCATGTTCAGATATGGATTTGATAACTGAGCATGTTTAAGAATAGGCAAAATTCTATGTGAATGTGTCCAGACTCCCTAAGTAAAATCCACATGCTTCCTTTGTTTATGAAAAGCATTTTTTGGAATTAACTTCAATGCTCTCCTTGCCTCCTGCAGGTAAGAAATCTTTCTCCTTTCTTCTGTCTTGGCTGTCGTGATGGCTATTCTTGGTAGTCAAACTGACTACCTTTGGAAGTAACTAAACCCCAAAGAGTTGAGTCACCGGTGAGGGATTTTTTTTAAAGGTTTTGAAATTGAAGACCCATCTTTAATCTGGATCATTCGAGGTGATGAGATACATCTTTAGCTGCTTGGTGGCAGTTCACATATTTAACTCCAGCACTCAGGAGGCAGAGGCAGTGGATTTTCTGAGTTTGAGGCCATCTAGGTCCGCAGAATGAGTTCCAGGGCTACACAGATAAACCCTGTCTTGAAAACACCAAAACAAAACAAAACAAAACCCATAAAGAAATAATAATATGGATCACACCATCTGGTGGTACTCTGTATGTATAAAGGAGATTGAAGGAGGAAGCTCTCTCTCTATGGCTGCTTACCCTAGTTCTCCCTACCAAGTTCATTCCTTTACTAGCATTAGAGCCTACTTCTTTGGAATTTTGGTGTATAATGAAGACCAGCTGAAGCATACAGCCTGATGAACTAAACAACTACTGAACTCTTCAAATTTCCGTTGGTAGGCAGCCAGTGTTGGACTACCTGGACCAGAACCTGTGAGACATTCTAATAAATCCACTTTCTACATACATGGAGAGATTCATTCTACCAGTCCTGCTCATGTAGAGAACCTTGAGTAATGCAGTTGGGTTTTGGTTTATTTTTCCTGTTCACTGAGGAAGATGTGCTGGCTAACAGTGGTCATAAACACAATCTTCCTGGCTCCATTACTCTCTAAATAATCAACTTTCCATGAAGACTACTCTTTTTATTATGCATTTGCCAAGAGTTTTCTCTGAAATTCTAGAATAAAACTCCTACAGCAATGGAATCATCATCTATCTTTCTGATGGGAGAAAGACCTATTATCTTGTTTGTGATCTGGTTCCTACTTTACTTTCCTGATTGTCTGAAGTTCCTGTAAGGACCAGGTAAGAAGCACCTTCAGTTCACCTGACCTCAGTGTAAAACCACATAACAAACATCTCCTTTTGTATCCTTAAATATCTCTTTAGTAGTTAATATTCTGGGCACCCTTCCAGCTTTTTGGCAGATAATCACTCCATTCACATGGTTAAGTATAGTGGGCTGTACAAGCTAGCTAGACACATTGTGTTCAGGAGGAAGAAGGGGAAAAGCCTATAGAGTGCAGGAAGATAGCAGGGTCTGCTATTGGGGCCAAGGGCAAGTGCTATAGAAATGTGGATCTCTGCTGATCTAGAAAAGGTCTTTGGGGTGGAAGGCAGCAGGAACCATTGTACTGTGTCTTTAAGTGCCTGTAACACTATGGGAGGTAGCCAATCAGGCTCTCAGGCAACCTTCTAGTCATAAGTGGTGCAGGGCCCTTCCTGCCACTGGCTCAGGTTTGGCTTTGAAGAGAAACTGGTACCAGTGGTTTTGTGTGCTGTGCTTTGAGCAAGAGCAAACTGGAAAACCACAACATAGTGAGCAAGAGGCTGCTGTCCCCAAACAGGGAGTGACAGATGGTGAGGTGGGGCCTGTGTGGTGGGTATTCCCTGGATCTGGGTGGGAAGCTGCAGCCAGATTCTCTGTTCTGTGAGGTCCCATGCAGTCCTTAAATGTCTTGGACCCAGAGGCAGGCCTCTGAATAACTGTGTTCTGTAGGCTGAGTCTGATCTGAGCCTTGGGGGCAGGGAGCTGTGTGTAGAAATATCTTTGTAGTTAACTTCAACATGCTTTTGGTGCACCCATGGAAAGGAGGTTGCCAAACTTGAAGAGGCCTAGTTTCTTCAGTACCTTCTAGCGGTTCAACACTTTGTATTTAAACTTTACATGTAAGATCCATTTATTGTTAATTTGTGGAGGTTGTAAAAGGCATCTCATGTGTTGGGGTAGCACTTCACTACTAAGCTGTGATATAGAATAGTAAAATTGGTAATACAAAGGAGACAGTCTCACAAAATAGAATTTAGCTGAGGGAGGACTGCCTCTAAAACACCCAAATATAAGTATATGCTAACCAGGCCTGTTAGAAATTAGAATGCTACAATACACATTTGTTCACCAGGATTATTTCGACATTTGGCTCTAAACCATTACAAACGAGCCACCCCTGATTTACAACCATCCACTAGGCCCATCCCCATATCAAAGAACAGGCCTGTAACAAGCTGTTCAAGGAGGCATTACACGGTCACAAGCAACATTAAGTCCTGGTGTGCCATAAAGTTCCAGTTTTCTTTTTGAGAAAAGCATAGTTCTGTTAGATGGGAAATATTACACCAGTGACAAGCATTTGAAAAGTAAAACACTATTATGTTAAGGACAAGCAAGGCTTTCATTTAGGCCCTCAGTCAGAGAGGAGGAACATTCTTGGTAGAGCTAGTAATAGTCTGGGGCCTAGGCCTTGGGAGATTTCCCTAAGGGCCTGATTTATTGACAATAAAGCAGAGATCCTTCTTTAAAACCCAGAATATGCTTAGGAGAGTTGGTAATGGTCTGTAACAATGGTAATGGTTTCAGATCAAGAGAACCAAATCTCTTCCCACTACATAGAGCTATGGTTATCGGTCCCAAGGTCACTGTGGGCTTAGTCAGTGATGATCTTGAGATACACTGTATTCCCCTTGTGCAGCATTGTTTGATTAGCCTCCTCCCTGAGTTTGTCTCATTGCATGATAGTTTCTACTGACTTCATAGAAGTCACCCATTTTCTTCGATTTTCCCCCTAGAAGTAGTACACAAGATTCTTCTTAAGAAGCTTACTTGGCATGGGGCATGTCTTGTGAAAGACCTCCCCATCCCAGCTTTTATCTTTTTCTATCTTCTACATTTCCTATCTTTCTCACTCCCTCCTCACTTTGTCACTTGCCAGCTGGAAGAAGCTAGACTTAAACTGAAGCCCTTATACTCAGGAGTCTAGGTTGTTTAGGTGGGAGTCCTAATGGCTTCTATATCTACGCAAAGAGGTTGGAATGTTTGGTAGCCCCTGTTCCAAACCCCACCCTCAAGGTGTGGTGTTTCTTCTGCTAACCTGGTCCTGTCACTCAGACTTTTCTAGCTAATCAGAGCCTCTAGCACACCTGCCAGTCAGAAGGGAGGGCTCTTCTGGAGCTAGGCTTTCAGAAGTTGTCTTGTGTGCTGTGCCTTTCATTCTGCGTATGTGACAGGAAGGTGGAGGAGCCCAGGGCAGACTCTTTCCAACTCACTCTCTCTGTCTCTCTCTTTCTCTCTCTCAGGTTGCAGATCATGTCAGAAGGGCAGAGACTGCATCTTCTGGAGCAGGAAGGCCATGGTGGCTCTTTATTATCCCTAATAAATCAGCCATTTATCATTTGTCTTGGGTCTAGTGAACTTGTTAATACAAACCTTCACATGAAAGTTTTTTTTTATTGAAACTAAAGACAAGTATGAAGTATTTACCAAATCATTTACATGAATTGTTTTTTTTTCTCTTCTGTGAGTTCTTCCCTATTACCTGATATCAAGATGATACAAAAAGGATTTAAAAAATGTATAGGGCTAGATATATGGATGAGCAAAATTATGCCAAATTCATTGCCAGGACATAGGTCATGATTCTGAGAACTTTCTGTTGTTCCTGCTACAGGAATACTCAAGGGTCTAACCTTGGGAATAAGCATGAACAGTCACAAACCCACACATTGACACCAAGTAATTAAAATTCAATCAAATCTCTAAACAAACATTTTCACACATGAATATTTTCTCTTATAAGCAGTTATTCCTGTAACCCAGGTGTTGAGGTATTTAAAGTCTTAACAGGTTCCCTTCAGCATGAATTGGCTCATGTAACAGAAGCAAGCATGCAGGATTGGGTTTAGGGAAATCAATCGATCTTTAATTACGTGTCTTACGTAATTAAAGAAAAGAGTGAAGTCAAAAAGGGTTACTTTATCAGTGAATTCATAGGACTTTTGTTTATATGAGTTTGCATGTGCAAACAAAATAGAGACATTATAATGCTGGAACAGGCTGTTGACACTTGCCAAATATTTTTCTTTCCAGAATCTTGTGTTGGCTGAAGATCTTACCAAATCCTTTATAGTAAGATTCCCTTCAGTATGAATTTCTCAGGTCCTCAAATATTATTGTGATATACAAGGTGCACTTTACCATACTGCTTACATTTATAGGGTTTCTCTGCAGTTTGATTCATCTTTCATGATTTTTAAAGACTGTTACATACAAAGACTTTACCCCATTAGTTACACTCACAGGTTTTCTCTCAAGTATGTGTCCTTTTATGACTTACAAGACTGCAGTGTTGTGAAAAGGCTTTACCACATTGATTACATTCATAGGGTTTCTCTCCAGTATGTGTTCTTTTATGAATTACAAGACTGCTCTGTTGTGAAAAGGCTTTACCACATTGATTACATACATAGGGTTTCTCCCCACTATGTATTCTTTGATGTGTTTGTAGACTACTGACACGTGAAAATGCTTTATCACATTGATTACATTCATAGGGTCTCTCTCCAGTATGTGTTCTTTTATGAGTTACAAGACTGCCTTGTTGTGAAAAAGCTTTACCACATTGATGACATTCATAGGGTCTCTCTCCAGTATGTGTTCTTTTATGACTTACGAGACTGCAGTGTTGTGAAAAGGCTTTACCACATTGATTACATTCATAGGGTCTCTCTCCAGTATGTTTCTTTTTACATATTTGGAGTTTAGAGCGTTCCGAAAATGCTTTACCACACTGATTACATTCATAGGGTTTCTCTCCAGTATGTGTTTTTTTATGTTTTTGTAGACTATTGACATGTGAAAAGGCCTTACCACATTGATGACATTCATAGGGCCTCTCTCCAGTATGTATTCTTTTATGAGATACAAGATTGTCATGTTGTGAAAAAGCTTTGCCACATTGATTACATACATACGGTTTCTCTCCAGTATGTGTTCTTTTATGTATTTGGAGTCTAGAGAATCGTGAAAAGGCTTTACCACATTGATTACATTCATAGGGTTTCTCTCCCGTATGTGTTCTTATATGTCTTTTAAGCTCACCATGACTTGCAAAAGCTTTACCACAATGACTACATTCATAGGGTCTCTCTCCAGTATGTGTTCTTATATGTCTTTGGAGACTACTAACATGTGCAAAGGCTTTATCACATTGATTACATTCATAGGGCTTCTCTCCAGTATGTGTTCTTATATGTCTTTTAAGCACACCATGACTTGCAAAAGCTTTACCACAATGATTACATTCATGGGTTTTCTCTCCATGATGTGTTCTTTTATGGAGACGGAGACAACTGTGACATGCAAAGACTTCACCATATTGAATATGTTCATAAATTTTCTCTCCAGTATGATTTTTTTCATGCCTTTGAATATGCCTGTAACACACAAAGGTTTTAACACAATGAGTATATTCACGGGGTTTCTCTCCTGTATGGCTTCTTTCATTCCTGCAAAGATAATTGGCACATGTAAAAGCTTTACCACATGCATTATACTGATGAAACTTATTATATGTATAAACTAATTTTACAATTTGGCCTAACTATAAAGAGCAATCAGATCTTAAGTTTTACATTCTTGATGCTTCCCTTCATGAGGGGTTGTTTTGTGTCTTTGAAGATACCAGCAATAGTAAGAGCCTTTATTTCATGTCCCATATTTATGTCATCTTTATTATGTGAGATATTTCACATGTTTGAAAAGAACTGAAGGAACTCAGAGCTTTATCATACTTGTTGCATTCGTAAGTTTTCCTATAGTGTGAGTCATACTACACTGGCAGAATGTACCAGGATAAATGGAAGCATTCATACATTCCAATACTCATAGGACTTTTCCTGCAGTGTGTGTTTGTTGATGCCTTTCCAATGAAGTTGGAAAACCAATCAATTGTAAACTTGTATCACATTCAATAACTGCATCAAAGTGGGGACTACAAAATATCTTTCATATCTTCTAATTTTCCCAAAAGACAGAGACAGAGAGAGAGAGAGAGAGAGAGAGAGAGACAGAGACAGAGACAGAGACACAGAGAGAGAGAGAGGTACATTGTTTCTTTCCATATTCTATTTTCCATATTCTAAGCTCACATGGCTTATATTTAGAGTGACATGATATTCTTTTTTCTTTTTTGCTTTTTAGTTTTCTAAGACAAGGTATCTCTGTGTAGCTTTGGAACCTGTCTTGGAAGTCACTCTGCAGGCCATGCTGGCCTCCAACTCAGAGATCCACCTCCCTCTGCCTCCTGAGTGCTGGGATTAAAGGTATGCGTTACTCCTGCACCGCTGTACATGATAGTCTTGTTAAAGGGAGAAAAACGCATAAAAGGTCTCCACATTACATTCACACAGTTTGACTTTCTTTTCCTCACAGACATGTGGCATAGGGATTAAGGTTTCTCCACAACAGCCTTCTTGACTCTCATAAATTGACCCTTTCAATATACTTAGAAAATTCACAAATATATGAGAAATTCCAGCTTCAATATAGACTTTTTTTTCTTAAAAGGTCTTGGACCTTATGTGTATCACCTAATCAATGTGTATACCATTTAAAATATCTCAGTGGCATGAAACTAAACGGATTGGCATTTCTACAGCATAGGTCTCAATGGGCTGTAATATAAATTTTCCCAGGAATGCCTTGCAAACATAGAATATCTACCTGATACTGAGGTACATGTTTTGTGAGAATTAATGATTAAGAATCATTAATATACTTTAAGTTATGCTTATTTATACTGTTTCTTTTCTTTGAAACTTCCAGGACACATTAAAATTCCTACAGATGCAAATTTGTATGAACTTGTACATGAAAATTACCTTCTGTGTCTTCTAGAACTTTCACAATGTTCTTCAATATTATGGTCTTCCCAACTGTAACCTGAAACAAAATACAAGAAAATATATAATATATTAATGGAAATTGTACAAAATTTAAGTTAATATGTTCACCAAGTCTTAGAACTGTGCTTTATTCACCTAATTTTCCCTTTTCTCAATCAAAATTACAGAAGAGTATCAATAACCGAGAGATATTTGTCCCATTATTTGAAAACATGAAGGAATGTTTAGTCTTACCTATAGCAGTGAGGTTCCTGTAGGTGTCAAGCATCACATGCTTGTAGAGACTTTTCTGGGAAGGATCCAGCAAAGCCCACTCTTGCTGAGTGAAGTTGATGTGCACATCATCATAGGTCACTGTGTTCTAAAATAACCCATACATGTGTAAAACAGAAAGTGTGATACTCACATTGTATATGTATACTTCTTTGACAATATAGTCCTATAATTCTTGTGCTTCCCACACTTATTTCATGATATGGAAATTATAATATATTCAAGCAGTCACTTTAGAAGGAAACTGAATAGGCGGTTTGCATGCACCATTTCTTGGCCCTTTAAGTAGCATTGGGATTTTCAGAAAGAAATGAATAAACAAAGGGAGAGGCAAGCTAGCAGATCAACCCTACTGAGAACACATCAGAGAAATTTTATGATATGGTTAGCCTGTCACAGAAATACCCCAGACCCTGGTACCAACATCTAACTTTGTTAGGTTTTTATTGCTTCAAAGTGACAACATGGCAACTCTTACAATGAAAACATTTAATTGAGGTGTCTCCCTTAAAATTTCAGAGGTTCAGTTAATCATCATCATGTCAGGGGGCATGGCAGCATTAAGGCAGATGTGGTGCTGAAGGTTTGAGTCCTTACATCTTGACTCAGGCAACAGGAAGTAGGCTTACACACTGGGATGCATCCTGAGTACATGAAACCTTAATACCTAATCCCACAGTGACATACTTCCTCTAACAAGGAAAAGTCCACTCCAACAAAGCCATACCTCCTACTCGTGTCATTAGTGGGATCTCACAGACTGTGGGCTAACTGCTGGGGAACCTTCATGGCACCAAACTAGACCCTCTGAATGTGGGTGGCAGTTATGTGACTTGATCTGTTGGGGGGCCCCTGGCAGTGAAACCAGGACCCATCTCAGGTGCATGAACTGGTTTTTTGGAGCCCACTCCCTGTGGTGGGATGTAGTGCTCAGTCTTGATACAGGATGGAGTGACTTCATCCTTCCTCAACCTTTTATGCCAGACTTTGTTGACTCCCAGATGAAGGCCTTACGCCTCTGAGGAGTGGATTGGGGATACAAAGAGGGAGAGGGAGAGGTCAGGAGATGGGGATGGAGGGGAACTGGGATTGGTATGTAAAATGAAAACTAAAATTTTAAAATAAGTTAAAAAAGAAACTGTATGATTTATATTATGCACCCAAAGTGACGGGTTTTGCTCTCATTGCTTTATAAGTAACAAGAATTTTGAAAACAATTCATCCCAATTTTTTGTATATGTTTGTTTGTGAGCGAAGTTTTCCATGTGTGTATATTTGATATACCAGAGAAGAGGGAGTCAGATATCCCAGATCTGGAGTAGCAGGTAGTTATGAGCCTCCAAGTTTGGGTGTTGGGATATGAACTCAGGTGATCCCCAAGAAAATTATATATAGAGCCATCAGTCAAGCTCTATAGTCCTTTTTTTTAGCAAAACATGAAAAGTCTTTCACAGATTAAAAACAAGAATAAAAGAACCTACATAAATAAATAAGTAAATAAATAATCATTAGGAACTTGATGCCTCAATGTTAAGATACTGTATAAGGTAAATTTGCAACATGAACTGAATATAATCCACAGAAAATTCCCAACATCTTATAACAGGATATCTGATTCTAAAGATATATGCAAATTGGAAACATAATTCTCAAGAGGATTACAAAAAATTGTACACATGTTCACACAGTGTGACTTCTATACTTAAAACAAATCTACAGCAATGGAGAAGGTGTACAATATTTGGGAAAGAATAAAGGGGATAGAGAGAAAAAGCTAAGAATAATAGCAGGAAAATATAATTAACTTTTTATCAAAAGACCAAAGGAAACTAAGCCAGGTAAACTGATATCTTGCACAATGTTACCCAGCTACCCATGATTCCATGTGTTTAGAAACTAAATAAACAGACTTCACAACTCTCATAAAATTAACTCAAAAGGGCCCTTAAACTCTTCTGCTTCTGCCCCTACAGCTACTGATATTTCTTACAAACAAATGTTCCATGGTCTAGAGCTCTCTCTACAAATGGAGGTAATCTCTTACTATGTTTCTGCAAACTCTCATGTTGCCTTGTTGTTTGAGACAAACCCAGCCCCATTGATGCCCACACAGAAAATAACGTAGAAGAATAATTTAATATCTGCTTCCTGCCACATGCATTATGATACAACATGTAGAATCTGCTTTATCCACCCACCAATACCATGCACACCTGAGAAACTTCTGCAGATCAAAAATTCCTTGTGTTCCTGGCACTCAACTTTCCTGAATCACACCATTGTAGCTGGTAGGAGCAGAAAGTTAAAGGCATTCTGATCACATATTGCTGAAGGATGATACCCATCACCTCTGTAGAATCCATATGGCATTAATTTTGTGGAGCCTGTAAACGGTTTCTCCAAGTTTGGTGGTATTTTGCTTGTGCTTTAATAAATGAAGATTGCCAGGTGGTGTTGGCACATGCAATCATGACACATGAAAGGCAGAGGCAGATAGATCTCTGTGACTTGAAGCGAGTTCCAGATCAGGCTCCAAAGCTACAAAGAGAAACCCTGTCTCAAACAAACAAACAAACAAACAAACAAACAAACAAACAAACAAAACCCCCAAAAAGGAACTGGAGAGATGGCTCAGAGATTAAAAGCACTGACTGCTTTTCCAGAGGTCCTGAGTTTAATTCCCAGCAACCACATGATGGCTCACAACCATCTGTAATGAGATCTGGTGCCTTCTTCTGGCCTGCAGGGACACATGCAGACAGAACACTATATACATAATAAATAAATCTTTAAAAGAAAAAAAAGCAAACAAAACTAAAAATAAACAAAGCTTGTCTGAAGACCAGAGTGTGGAGGTAGGCAGTAGGTAACCATAGATGCCAGGCCATAGTGGTGCACACCTTTAAACCCAGCACTTGGGAGGCAGAGGCAGGTGGATCCCTGTGATTTCAAGGCCACCCTGTGCTACATTAGACTAAGTCAGTTTAAAAGAGAAAGTACTTGGGAGTTGGAGACAAGAGCAATACGACTGGGTGGCGAGGGGAATATAATGCGGAAGGAGACAGAAGTTCATTGCTTTCAGACTGAGCTCCTACTGACAGAATCACCCCATTGATCTCAGAATTCATTAGAGGTAAGAACTAGGAGCTAGCTTCTCTGCTTCTCTGATCTTCACCATTAACCCCTCTATCTGACTCCAGTTTTTCATTATTTAGGCCAATTAGAATTAGTACTGCCATCTCCAGTGTAGGGAAGTATGCCATAGCTATAAAATGTGGTGTTGAGGAGTAGAATTAATGGTAATAGAATTGATGCTAAGGATTTTCCAATTTACCAAGTTTATTGCTGTATTTTGCATATATCTGCATAAGACAGAATGTTTTCTATATGTATACAGGATATTAAATGCAAATAATTATGAGGCAATGGAGTGTTGGTATCTAAATTCTGGTCATCTCCTAAAGAAGGTGTGCTGAGCCACCTGCCAAGATCCACAATACGTTTTATCTGATAAATCAAAACTCTTTCACAGATTAGCAATGACAAGAATAACAAAACCTAGATAAATAAAGAAGTGAATGAGTGATACTTGGGAACATGATGCATCAAAATTAAGTTATTATATATGTTAAATTTACAGCATAAAATGAATAAAATCCAATGACAAAGCACAACAATTTATAACAAATGCTGATTATAAAACTACATTCACAAAAAATTAAAAATTTAAAAAAGCTACATTCACAGGGGAAATATTCAGAATGTTCAATGGGATTATGAAAACATAGTACACAGATTGACATAATATGACTTCTATACTTACCACAAAGCTACAACAATCAAAATATGTACAATATTTGCAAAAGAATAAAGAGGATGGAGATAAAAATCCAAGAACATAGGCTAGAAAATATAGTCAACTATTAATCAAAAGAACAAAAGAAACCTAGCCAGGAAATGTGTGATCTTCACCAATGTTATCCAACTACCCATGAATCTATGTATATAGAAATTAAATAAACACAGACTGCAAAACTCCAATTAAATTAACTAAAAATGACCCTTAAATTGTTGTTTCTGACCCTCTATGGAGCTACTGATATTTCTTCCAAAGGCAGAAACCCCATACTCTAGAACTCTCTCTGCAAAAGGATGCTATGGCTCTGCAGACCTTTATGCCTCCTGTGGCTTCAGGTAAACCCAGCCCCACTGATGCTCAATCCCCAAACAGTATGGAAGAATTTAAAATCTGCTTTCTGCCACATGAATTGCAGGACAAGATGTGGATCCTGTCCTAACTACCTGTCCAACACCATGCACACTTCAGAAATCTCTGCAGAACAGATGTCCCCTGGAACTAAACTTCACTGAATCACACTATTGTGACTGGTGATAGCAGGAAGTTAAAAACATTCTAATCATGTATTGGTGAAAGACAATCCATATCACCATTTTTCTACCATTTTCTAAATTATCTGTAATATTTATAAGACAAACATGGAAGTGGAATGCAATATTCAAAAGTTCTAGAAACAAGACTGTTAGTTTTCCAATCTGTGTTCCACTGCATATCAAACACAGCCTGTGTGTGGACACTGGACAGTGATATTACAAGCATCATATTCTCCCATGCCAGGGCTACAGAGTCTACTGCTAGCCAAGAAATCCATATACACAGATACTGGGAGGACAAGGACAATTGCACAGGTCACCATATGGACCAGGCAAAACATAGTCTGATTCATGGTCCATACAAATCCCAGCAGAAATGACAGCTCAGCAGACTCCTCTGAACACAACACTTACCAAGGTATAGCTTGTGTTCTTCCTTACAACTACCTAGACAGAAGAGGAGGAGAATCCTGGAGGGAAACTGCAAGCTACCTGCCACCAACCAGTACTCCTGATTGCTAAGCCTTCCCAGAGTCCCTCATTCATTAGGGCCACCCAGCTTGGCGTAGAATATTAGCAGCCCCTCTACTAGGTGATCAGAGATCAAATGACCCAGATAGCACAGTCCTTCCAGCTCTGTTCTTGCAGCCCAGCAGACAGGACCTAGTCAAGAAAGTTTGTATTTTAGTAGACATTCTTCTATTATAGAAAACATCTTGCATCTGGTGCAAAGTAAAGGGTCCTTTGGGTGCACATTCCATTACACACTCAATGTGCAGTGCCACCAACCCTTGAACTCATAGCTGGAAAATACTGCAACCAAATGCATGTCACACTCTGTAACTGTTGTTTAAGTAAAACTATCCATTAACTAGAAAACACTGTGGAGTCATGGTAGGGCTTGGGGACAGGAAAGAGGACGTGGATATGATACAGTTATTATATAAAAATTTATTTTGAAAAGTTGAAAAGAGCCTTTTGGCCATGTGCTGCAGAGACTAGGGATTTCTATTAGAGCACATCAAGGATTTCTCAAACCTTTTCTCTCAGACTGTACATCTAAACCCAGAAAAATAACAGTGTTGTTAGGCCACCAACAGTTTACCCAAATATGGTTGAACTACTGTAACCAAAGTTTTCATGATAAGGTGTGTCCTTTATCCAGATTCTTGATTGCCCTCATTTGTGGATCCCCCAAAAATGGCCAATCTAGACAATTATGGAATATCTTGAATTGATTAGCGAATTCCACATTGCTAATCTCAACTACTGTTGAAGGAGTAAAGCTCAACCTCCATCCTGCCTCTCCCTTTCTGCTCTGTGACTTCAGCAGTTTCAAAGTTGGTCAATGAACTCCATTCTTAAACAGGTCCCTCTTCATTTATAAGTCCCCACTGAAAATAGAGAGTTTGGAGTTTACTCATTAGCTGACCTGCCAAGGCCCAGACAGGAAGAAGATACAGGATTGTCTTCCCAACTCTGGGCAGGAGAAGCAGGATTAGGGTTCAAAGCAATTCTCAATGACACAGCATGAGGCAAGCCTGAGCTATAGGAGACTTTCCTCTATACAGAAATGAATAATCAACATCACTTGAGAAAAAAGGAATGAAACTAGTAAAAACCCAGAAAGAGTGGAAAACTGAAACAAATAGAGATAAAAGCAATAATATAATTAAACAAAACATTAACAATGTATCAATAAGTGATTTTTAAACAATGAATATAATGTATTTTTAATATTTAAAAAACTTATCTATATTGACTGATAAAAGACACTTCCCTAGAGAGAACATCATTTGCAGCACAAGCTCTAATAGATCTAAATAATAAAAATTCAGAGTCAGCTATCAGGGGGAAAGCTGAAGGCTCACAGAAGTACAGTGGCCAGACATTAGAGTTCTTACTTCTACCAATGCTCAGACCAAGGGGGCAATCCTTTAGACTGACTGCTGTCTCTACAAAACCTCAGATTGAATGCTCAGACAGAGTCTTCTCACTGTATGCCCTCCTGTCTCCACCCACTTTATATTCCTCTGTCTGTCTAGCATATCACTCCTATCTCCACTTCCCTGTGCTGGGATTAAAGGCGTGTGATGCCAAGTGTTGGGATAACCTTTGTGTGAGCTGTTTCTCTCTCTCTCTCTCTCTCTCTCTCTCTCTCTCTCTCTCTCTCTCTCTCTCTCTCTCTCTCTCTCTCTCTTTCTCTCTCTGTCTTAGCCTAGAGTGGCCTTGAACTCACAGAGATCCATCTACCTCTGTCTCCTGAGTGCTGGATACAAAGCCGTGCACCACCACTTCCTGGACAGGGATGGCTTTGAGTACTTGATCTCCTGCCTCTATGGCTAACTAGTGACTTACTGTGTGTGGCTAGTGGCTTAGCACTTAACCAGGTGTGTAGCTAACTACTGACTTAGTTCTGCACTCTGATCTTCAGGCAAATCTTATTTATTAGATTATAAACAAAGTATCATTACATTTATTAGTAAAAGGTAGATTGATGTTGCCCATATGCATATGTTGGCTACTGAGCTCTGTAATCTGACACATAGTTACAGTCAATGACCTGCTTCTCAAGCATCTGAGCTGACATAACTGTGTCAAGTAGGATAGAATATATTTGCACAGAATAGTAACCTAAATGCAAATCCAATATTCATTGACTGAAAATAATCTTCCCAAAGTCTACACCCACACCATCTGGTCTGTGTTTCTTCACATGACATGAATTAAAACATGCTGGGAAATTACAAAATCATTACCACAACCACAATCAGGTCCTTTTACATAATGGTGACTCCAGCAGATGGTTGCCTACACTGAATCCTCCTGTAGTGTAAACTATTCCTTTTATTTTGGTCTGAAGGCAGAAGCAATGCTCCCCCATGGGAATCCTTTTCCTTGGACAGAATAGGAAAGTCAACTACATAACTCAAATCAACAATTTTAAATATGAGGAGGTGTATTCATTTAAGAATTTTGAATGTGTAATACAGAAGACAGCAAGTTCATTGCCCCGGAGAGCAACGGACTGGAATCAACACCACCTGAGTCAACATAACAGAGTTTGCTACAGTAACATTTTTCTAACAGAATGGAAATGCAGGTATCCTAGTATTAATATGCCTTACCAGGGAGAAATTACTTCACATAGTTAGTGGATCAATAAAGGATAAATACATTTAATGATAACATGCATCAATCTCTAGCTAACACTCAAAGAGGAGGCAGCCTAGACACATTTTGAGAAAGATACAAAATGTAGAAGGTAGAAGACATAAAATTTGGGATGGGGAGGTCTTGCACAAGATATGTCCCATGCCAAGTAGCTTCTTTAAAAGAATAGCATCTTGTATACTACTTTCAGAGGGAAAATGGAAGAAAATGGGTGACTTTTATGAAGTCAGTAGAAACTCAGGGAGGAGGCTAATCAAACAGTGCTTTACAAGGGGAACACAGGTTATTTCAAGATCATTACTGACTAACCCAAAGGCAGCCTTTGAAATGATAACCATAACTCCATGTAGCGGGAAGTGTGGTTCTCTGTATCTGAAGCAACCTCTCCACAAAGGCTTTGCTCCAGATCACTTCAAGCTCTCCCAAGCAAACTCCTAATTTTAGACAAGGTTCTCTGTTTTATTGTCAATGCATCAGGCCCTTCCTTAGGGAAGACTCCCAAGGCTGTTAGTAGCTATCCCAAGAATGTTCCTCCCCCATGTCTGAGGGCCTAAATGAAAGCCTTGCTAGATCAGTCAAGTCCTTAACACAACAGTATTTTACTTTGCAAATCGTTGTCATCTGGTGTCCTATTACCCACCTGGCAGAACTATGCTTTTCTCAAGAAGAAAACTGGAACTTTATGGCAGACCAGGCCTTAAGGTTGCTTGTGACCTTATAATGCTTCATTGAGCAACTTGTTAAAGGCCTGTTCTTTGATATGGGGAATGGGTCTCTTGACTGGTTGTAAATCAGGGGTGGCTCATTTGTAATGGTTTGGAGTCAAATGTCTAGACAATCCTGGTAAACAAATGTGTATCCTAGCATCCTAATTTCTAACAGGCCTGGTTAGCACATACTTATCTTTGGGTGTTTTAGAGGCAGTCCTCCCTTAACTAAATTATACTTTATGAGACTTACCATCCCCTAAGCATTTGTAAATCCTTTGTATTGCCAATTTTAGTCTTCTATATCACAGCTTAAGTGCTTTTTACAACATCTACAAAATTAACAATAAATGGACCTTACAGGTAAAGTTTAAATACAAAGTCCTGAACCTCTAGAAGGTACTGAAGAAACTAGGCCTCTTCAAAGTTAGGTGAACTGCTTTCCATGGGTGCACAAAAAACATGTTGAAGTTGACTATAAAGGTGATTCTATAGACAGCTCCATGTTCCTAATGCTCAGAGCTGACTTAGTCCACAGAGCAAAGCTATTGAGAGTCCTGCTTCTGGGTCCCTCACAGGACACAGAGTGTGACTGCAGCATCCCACCCAGATTCAGAGAATACCCACCCCACCAGCTTCAGCACCTCACCATCTGCCACTCTCCATCTGAAGACAGTAGCCCCTCACTCACCAAGTTGTGGTTTTCCAGCTCGCCTTTGCTGAAAGCACAGCACACAAAACCGCTGGCTCCAGTTTCTCTTCAAAGCCAAGCCTTTAGCCAGCGTCCAGAAGGACCCAGCACCACTTTGTGTGTTACTAGGAGACGAGGAGGATTCTGGGAAACGTAGTCAGAGTCAGACACTGTGTGACTAAGAGACGAGGAGGATTTTGGGAAACGTAGTCAGAGTCAGACACTGTGTGTGAGTGACTAGGAGACAGGGTGGATTCTGGGAAACAAGAGTAAAAGAGCCTACATAAATAAAGAAGTAAATAATCATTGGGAACTTGATGCATCAATGTTGAGATACTGTATAGGGTAAATTTGCAACATGAATTGAATACAATTACAAACACTGTGTAACAGGATATCTGATTCCAAAGCTATATGTAAATTGGAAATGAATAGAATTCTCAAGAGGATTACAAAAGCAATAGCACACACATTGACACAATGTGACTTCTAAACTTAACAACAAATCTACAGCGAGATTGAGACGCTGTACGATATTTGGGAAAGAATAAAGGGGGTGGAGAGGAAAAAGTCAAGAACAAAAGCAGGAAAATATAAACAACTTTTCTTCAAAAGACCAAAGTAAAAGTCAGGTAAACTGTGATCTTGACCAATGTTATCCAGCCACCCATAGAATTTAATTTCTATGTGTTTAGAAATTAAATTCACAGACTTCACAACTGAAAGGTCCAGGCATTACGCTGGCCTGCCCTGCTACCTGGCAGGATGCAGTCAGGCAGCACTCTGGCCAGCTCAGAGTTCTGTGACAATCGTGCAGGTGCAAAGGACCCCTTTGAAGGACTGACCCCTGCCAGTTTACACTCCTCTCTTACTCTCATCACCTCATCCTCTCTTACTCTCATCTCTCTCTCTCTTACTCTTATCATTTCATTCTCTCTTACTCTCATCTCTCTTACATCTTTTTCTCTATCTCATCCTCTCTCATCTTCTTTCTCTGTTATGTCTGTCTCCCCCCTTTTGGTCTCACTATAATAAACTAGGGTTAATATGCTTTCCATGGCTTGTGCTCCATCCATCACACCAGTCCTTATTCCATATTTAACAACAACAACTCTCACAGAATTAACTCAAAAGGACCCTTAAACATTTCTGCTTCTGCCCCTACAGCTACTGATATTTCTTCCAAACAGAGACGCCCCATGGTCTAGAGCTCTCTCTACAAATGGGGGTAACCTCTTGCTATAGTTCTGCAAATTCTCATGTCCCCTTGTGATTTGAGGCAAACCCAGCCCCACTGATACCCACACAGAAAATAATGTAGAAGAATAATTTAACATCTGCTTCCTGCCACATGTATCATGACACACCATGTGGAATCTTCCCTATCCATCCACCCAAAACCGTGCACACCTGAGAATCTTCTGCAGATCAGAAATTCCTTTTGTTCCCTGGAACTCAACTTTCCTGAATCACGCCACTGTAGCTGGAGGTAGCAGAAAGTTAAAAGCATTCTGACTGTGTACTGATGAAAGATGATTCCCATCACCTCCTTCTACCACTTTCAAAACTGTGTGTAACACATGTAAGACAAACCTGAAAGTGGAATGCAATATTCATAAATTGCAGAAGCCCAGCTTTCAATTTCCAAATGTATGGTCACACCACACACCCAAAGCAACTCTGTGATGTACACTGGACCCTGATATTACACGTATCACAGCTTCCTACAGTCAGGGCTACAACACCTCCCTCTCTCTCCAGGGAACCTACACTCAGGGAGGCTCAAAGGACAAGAGCCACTTGCCCAGGAAAGCACATGGCTCATGGTCCCTCCCAGTCCCAGCAGCAATGACAGCTATGCAGACCTGCTGCTCCTGCTCTGAAGCCCCCACACTCACCATGCTATGGCTTTGGTCTTCATTATAGCCCCTACAAGAGAACCAGCAGAGAATCTTGGAGAGGACATGCTAGCTATCTCCAACGGGTCCTCCTGAGTGCTAAGCCTTCCCAGTGTGCCTCATTATCTGGGGCTATATCAGCAGCTCCCTTCTTAGGTTTGAAGAGATCAAATAACTCAGACAGCATAGGCATTCCTAGCTCTGCCTTTCCATCCCAGCAGACAGGGGCCTCATCTGGAAAGTGTGTGTTTTAGTAGACATTCTCCCAGGCTCCCAGCTCACTTCCTATTCTCTTCTAAGACACAGGGTCTTTTATGTGCACATAGCATACATACTCAGTCTGTATCCAGGGTAGCCAAACCTTTGCTCAATTCTGGAAAGAGCCACAGCCATACACAGGTAACATTCAAACATTCATAGGTCACACAGTATTGTTACTGTGTAACTGATGTTAAATAAAAACAGGCCATGGGCTAGAAAACAGTGAGGCATCATGGTAGGGCTTGGAGGCAGGAAAGAATAGATATTATAGATATGAGGTAGTTATAATCTCAAGAATTCTTTTGAAAAGTTGAAACAGGCTTCCTGTCCACATGCTCCAGAGACTAGAGATTTGGATGAGAACACTCAAGGACCACAAGCCAAGAACAAAAGCAGGAAAATACAATCAACTTTTCATCAAAAGACCAAAGGAAACTAAGCCAGGTAAACGGAGACCTTGATTCTATGTGTTTAGAAATGAAGTAAACAGACTTTACAACTCTCATAAAATTAACTCAAAGGGACCTTAAACTGTTCTGCTTCTGACCCTTCAGCTACTGATATTTCTTCCAGAGATGCCCCGTGGTCTAGAGATCTCTCCACAAATGGTAGTACTCTTTTACTATAGTTCTGCAAACTCCCATGTCCCCTTGTGGTTTGAGGCAAACCCAGTCCCACTGATGTCCACACAGAAAATAACCTAGAAGAATAATTTAACATCTGCTTCCTGCCACATGTATCATGACACAACATGTGGAACTGCTTTATCCACCCACCCAACACCATGGGCACTTGAGAAACTTCTGCAGATCAGAAATTCCTTTTTTTCCTTGGAACTCAACTTTCCTGAATCATGCCATTGTAGCTGGTTGTAGCAGATTTTTTTTTGAGACAGTGTTTTGGAGGCTGTCCTGGAACTCACTCTGTAGACCAGGCTAGCCTCGAACTCACAGACATCTGCCTGCCTCTGCCTCCTGAGTGCTGGAATTAAAAGCATGCACCACCAATGCCCGGATTGTGGCAGAAATTTAAAAGCACTCTGATCACATATTGCTGAAGTATGATTCTCATAAACTCAGTAGGTTTCTCATGGCATTAAATTTCTGGAGCTTGTAAATGGTTTCTCCAAGTGCAATGGTATTTTGTTTGTGCTTTAACAAATGAAGCTTGCCAGGTGGTGGTGGCACATGCCTTTAATCCCAGCACATGAGAGACAGGGGTAGGTGGATCTGTGTGAGTTCGAGGGAGTTCCAGTTCCAGCTCCAAAGCTACACAGGGAAACTCTGCCTCAAAAACAAGCAAACAAAAAACCAACAAAAAACAAAACAAACAATAAATACAAAGCTTGCCTGAAGACCAGAGTGTGGAGCTAGGCAGTCGTTATTCATAGAGGCCAGGCCATGGTGGTGCACACCTTTAATCCAAGCACTTGGGAGGCAGAGCCAGGTGGATCTCTGTGATTTTAAGGCCACCCTGTGCTACACCAGATTGATTCAGTCTAGAAGAGAAACAGAGCTGGGTGGTGCTGGCTCAAACCATTATCCTAGTACTTGGGAATTGGAGATGGGAGTAATATGACTGGGCAGAGAGAGGAAAATAAGGCGGGAGGAGACAGAAGCTCATTGTGTTCAGTATGAAGGGTCCTAGGGACAGGATTGCCCCTTTGGTCTGATGATTCAATAGAGGTAAGAACTAGGTGTTGGCTGCTCTGCTTCTCTGATCTTTCACCATTAATCCCTTTATCTCACCCCAGGTTTTATTATTAAGACTGATTAGAATTAGAGCTACAATCTCCAATGTAGAGTAGTGTGTCATAACTAAATTGTGGTGTAGAAGAGTAGAATTGATGGTATTAGAATTGATGGTGTAAGGGTTTACCAGTTTACAAGTTTATTTCTATATTTTGCATATGTTTGTGCAAGAGAGAGGATGTTTTCTATGTGTATACAGGATATGGAATGTAGATAATTATAAGGCACTTGAGTGTCAATATCTGAATTCCGGTCATCCCCAAAAAGAAGATGTCCTGAGCCCCCTGCCAAGATCTACAATATGTATTATCTGTTGGAACAAAACTCTTTCACAGATTAATATCAACAAGAACAACACAACCTATATAAATAAAGAAGAAAATTTGTGATCCTTGGGAACACGATGCATCAGAATTAAGATGTTGTATATAGTAAATTTACGGCATTAAATGGCTACAATCCATGGGCTAGAGAGATGGCTCAGCCGTTAAAGGCTAGGCTCACAACCGAAAATGTAAATGGCTACAATCCAATGACAATGCCCAACAATTTATAACAAAAATCTGATTACAAAGCTACGTTCACACACAAAAAAGTTAAAAAGCTACATTCACAATGGAATTATTCAGAATGTTCAATGGGGTTATGAAAACATAGTACACAGATTAGCATAATGGCTAATATACTTACCAGAAAGCTACAACAATCAGAATGTGTACACTATTTGGAAACGAATAAAGAGGATAGAAAAAAAAGCCAAGGACAGAGACCAGAAAATACAGTCAACTATTAATCAAAAGAACAAAAGAAATTCAGCCAGGAAAAATGTGATCTTGACCAATGTTATCCAATTGCCTATGAATTTGGGTGCATAGAGATTAACTAATGACCGACTTTAAAACTCCAATTAAATTAACTCAAAGTTACCTTTAACTGTTGTTTCTGACACTCCAGCTACTGATATTTCTTCCAAAAATAGACACCCCATGCTCTAGAGCTCTTTCTACAAATAAGGAGATTTCTTGCTATGAATATGTAAGACCTTTATGCCTCCTGTGGTTTCAGGCAGACCCAGACCCACTCATGCCCAATCCCAAAACAACATGGAAGAAAATTTAAAATCTTCTTCCTGCCACATGGATTATGCCCAAAATGAGGATCCTGCCCTAACTACCTGCCCAACACCATGCACACTTAAGAAATCTCTGCAGAGCAGAAACTCC